ACATGTATCTAAAGTCTCGAACGATGTGCCACGTCGAAAAAGGATACAGTGGTTGGGGCATGCATGGATTTTTTCAACCCCCAATGTGAGTGGACTTATAACCTTCTTCGCTTGGTATGTGTTGGCGGGAACTGTGTTTGGCCGTGGGAGCAATCGTGACATGAGGCACAACAGATCATCGAAGCTGCAGATCCGACCAGCCGTATTTTAGCCTTCGTGGATGAGTAGCTCAAGCACAAAACGCGTAGCGGTGTGAAGTATGTCGGACAACCCTTCTCAAAGACATCATACACACGGTCTTCTTCGATGCTTTTGTCACCCTCTCAAGATTTTCTAGACCTCTCTTGCTCTTTTCTAATATTTCTGGTCCAAAGGCCCCAAGCATTTTCGTCCAAGTTGTCACCGTCATCTGCATCCCCCTCACGTGCTTCGCCGCCATCATTATGGCACCACCAAACATCATCACCACCTTGTTCATTGCAAAGCCACCACCTTGTTCATTGCCAAAACCACCACCTTGTTGATTACCATAGTCACGATCCATTTGTTGCTCAAGATCGTCTATGAATCGGGACAAGTATGCTTGGGTTTCAGCTTCATCAGCTAGATCATCGTCGCTGTCATCAACAACCACTGTTTCACCATGATGAATCCACACTGTGTAGTCCGGAACAAATCCTCTTCTAATAAGATGTTCTTTGATGGTACTCACATCTCGAAATGCAATAAGGTTCTTGCAATCTTTGCAGGGACAAATAATCATGTCGCTATTCTCTTTCAACGTCGCTGCATGCTTCTCTGCGGCTTTGATGAATTTGTCCACCTCATCACGGAAAAGAGCGTCGTGTCTTAATGAACCATACATCCAAGAGTTCCTGTAGTCCATCTTATAGAAACAAAATAACCAAAGAAAGAATATTACTCGAGAATAATTGTATATACCTGAGACACGCACCATGGTAGTAGAGGATAGTTAATTAATTGACTATTAATGCATAAATATTTTAAAATATAAATTAATTGGTTCAAATAAACAATTTCAAATAAAACAATTAGCAACATTTAATATTTCATCCACTACCTTTCATGCAAACTCCATTCCAATTTCATGGTAGAGGATAATTAATTAATGGCCTATTTATCCATAACTAATTAAAAACACACATTATAGAAAGGAATCAAAATAAATATTAAATGATAATTAGTAGCCATGGTAGAGGATATTTTACACATTAGCAACAATTAAAATCTTACACATTCACCTACATGCAAACCCTAGTCACATAAAGGAAAAATTGAAAAAGAAAAAAAAACAAAATCCTAGATCTAGATATAGGGTTTCATGACACATGCATCAAACTTCACTAATACTACACTAAAATCAACAAAGATGTACTAATAAAGGGTGCAATCTTACTTTCCTACCTAATTTATCCTAGTATAGTGAAAATTAGGGTCTAATTTCACTCATAACTAGCTCAAGCTCCATGGAAGAAAGAGAAAACCTCAAATAAAATTACTCACTAACCAACGAATTAAACTTAAATAAAGAGTTGGAGACGCATTTCCTTACCTTTTAGAGCCTCTCCACCAAAGGATTTGAGATCAAAACCTCCCTCCTTAGTAGAGCAATTTTTAGGAGGAGCCCAAGGCCTCTCAACCTTTTTTTGTGTGTAGAAGAGTGTGTCCCAAGGTGGAAGAAGAGGGTGGCTGCAATTTATTCGTGCGCCATCAGTAGGGGCGGCTGGTGATTCAGCCGCCCTTACAGTCAGAACTGCAGGGGCGGCTGGTGATTGAGCCGCCCCTACAGATCAGCCCTAACTGTAGGGGCAGCTCAGGTTACCAGCCGCCCCTATAGTGACATCTGCTGCAGGGGCGGCTGGTGATTGAGCCGCCCCTACAGATCAGCCCCAACTGTAGAGGCGGCTCAGGTTACCAGCCGCCCCTACATTGACATCTGTAGGGGCGGCTGGGCTGCTGGGGACGGGGACGCCCACTATAGGAGCGCCCCCAACCCCAGCCGCCCCTACAGTAAAAATGCCCCCGTTCCTACAGTAAGAATTTGGCGTAGTGCTGTTCCCTTGTTTTTCTCTTTTCCGGCGAACCTCCATCAACAAACATGGAACTCCTTGGTGTCCGGCCATCCCGGCCCCACACCGCCGGCAGCCGTTGACCCTGCGGCTCCTCCCTGTCACCGTCGAGCAGCCGCCGCTACTGGCCCCGCAACCGAAGCCCCGCAGCCGGCGTTGCTCGTCACCAGCATAACTGTGCTCAGCCTGGTCTCGGGCACCACTTTGGCCCGGCCAACCGTGCCCGCTGCTGCCGCCCTGTCCCTGGAGCGCGCGTGCGCGCGGCTCAATGCGCCGCCGCGGCCGGCTGCAGCCCAGCCCGGCTAGCCAGAGACCCTCCCTCCCCTGCCGAGCTTCTCAATCGGCCATGGCCATGGAGGCACCATGTTATGTACGTACAGGTGTTCCAAGAAAGAAGACGAAGGTAATTACAAATCTGCCACTGGTTCGTAATCTCCACCATTTAACCATTTTAACTCCGATTTAGTTCGTTCTTGTTAAGTTAGGATCGTGTCGACGCGATCTACATGTTAGTGTTGATGTTTACCATATCACATGTTTCTGAATTTTATGATTTAAATCTTAATTTGATTAATATCTATGCAATTAGTTTCATAATTAAAAGCAACATAGATTTTATACGATGTTTTATATACAAATACTAATATTATTAATTGATATCATCAATGTGTTTTTAAATTATAAATTGTTTAGCTTAAACCCGCAACATATGCAGTTCGAGTAGGTGTTTCACCTGTCCTTTTATGTTGCAAGGTTAATGTTTAATTTGCTTAAATATATGGCCATATTTATAAATAAAATATAACTAGATTTATCTTGGTTTTTTAATTAAATTATGTTTTGATTAATCTAAATTAATACTACTCACATAGTTTCCTTAACCAACATAAATCAAGCTTGTAGTTGTTTCTTTTATAATATATAATCTTCTGGTAGTCGTATCTTTTTAACGTTAGTTCCGTTATCGGCGTTCTTGTGATCTCGTGACCATAGCACTAGCTCTCTTTAGTACGTTGTTTCCTCTCATGTGTATTGTTCTTAGTTGCTTTTATTTGTTGCTTGTATGTTTGCCAATGTGTGATGTTTGCTACGAGTAGAACGAGAATTGTATATGAGCGTTGGAGACCAGAAGTTGAACGGAAGATGAAGTTTGAATATTTTCTGAGCAAGTTGCTTTGGGTGAAAAGCAAGTGTAAGGCAAGTATAGCATGGGATCATCCTTGACACATATTCACTTTTAATCAGTTAATTCATACTGCATGTGTCTACCTTGTTATCATTTAGGTATCCTAGCATTTGAACTTGTACCTTGCCACCTATGGGTTATGCATTGGATAGTTTGCTGCTAGTGCTCTAATAAAACCTATGATCTTGTAACTTGACTAATAGAATATGCAATAAACACTAAAAGATGTTTTTTAGCAACGAGGAATAAGTGGGCTGGAGTATAGTTTTTGTTATGCTCTAGATTCCTCTCCTTAAGGACTTATCTGTAAGTGATCGTCCGATATTTACAGTACAACAATGAGTGCTACATGGCTCTGGCTTTAGTCAAGTATGAGGATCTTTTCTAGCTTGTTAGTGGTAGGGGTTTACCGAGACGGGTATAGGACAGCCTCTGTTTCTATGAATATAGCTGAGAAGAAATTGTGCCATTCGAAAGAGGGTACCTACATCTGCTTGCCATCCAAACATAGCGGCCAGCACCCGTATCCTTGCCCAGCGGGTCTATTGCCCACGGGCATGCAGGTATTTCGTACTCCTTGCCATCTTTAATTGTGTTCCATTTGAAGCCATGCAAAAGGAATTTTGTGCATGTGAAGCCTTGAGGAACTTTTGAGGAAATGGTTTTTCTCTATCTATTATAATATTATAAAAAGTTACTACTACTATCACATCTAGAATCCCCGGTATATTCTCCTCCCACCACAAATCACGTGTAAGCCCGTGTATGATTCAACTTGGGTGTGCCTTTACCGCTCAAAATCGTTGTCATCCATGCTTGGCGGTAATCTAAGACAATCCGGTCCATTTCTCTGGAACGCAAGGAGTTAAAAGCCCGGCTCGTCCTCTGGTGCCTAGCTGTCCCAAACACTGCAGCGCATGCCCCTGCCCGTGCTCGCGCCCACACTCACTGACATAGACTCGTCATGGCCACAGCACATCTACCGACCGACTCCTACTCTCCGACTTCTTCACTCGGGATTATGTCCGGCCGCCACAACCATATATTCTGGCTGAAAGCTAAAAGCTAAAACAAACGGTCGGTTTTTAAAGTTAACATTTGGAAATATAAAAGCTCTCTATATATTAGGACAGCTCCAATATTTAGGCTAAAAATGTGTGAAGATAAGAGAACAAAAATGAGGTACAAATGTAAAATACATATTGGATAGCAGGTGCTAGTTTAGGACCATAGTTTACCTGTCACTGTAAAAAACGTCATCACAGATGCGCGTTCAGGGTCGCGTCTGTAATAAGGTCTTATTTTTGCGTGTCTGTAATAAGGTTATACTACAGACGCGCGTTACCAACACGTGTCTGTGATACACCTTACACAGACGAGCATAGCCAACACGCATCTGTGATGACTCCTTATCTCAGACGCGCATAGCCAACAGGCGTCTGTGATAACGATTTGCAAAAACAAAAACAAAAAAGAAGAATAGATGACCTCTGCTTTGCAACCACAGCCACATAATACTCCAAATCAGTATTCAGTGCAATCCAAAACAGTACATAATACTCCAAATCAGAGAGTTCACAGCCACATGTGCGCCAACTAAATCATTTAAGTCCATTAGTTCACAACCAGTAGGCCCAACATGCATTTTAGGCCGGTTCAGATCATGTAAACCTAATAGCCATTTAGAGAGCAGCCCTAAACAAAATGCATTAAGTCCTTAGTCCTTACATTGAGGTTGCTTCAGCAATCTGTTCAATTTGGGATGCTTTCTCTTTTGCAACAGCTGCAGCCAGTTCAGCTTTTGCTAGCTCTTGAGCCTTCTCAATTTGTTGGCTTGTTTCTTCATCCTGTCAAATCAGTAGTACTAAGTTCAGTTACTTAATGAATTAGCATATATAGATAAGAGAACTTAAACATATCAAACATTGGCTACCTTTTCTAGAGTTTCTGCCTTCTTCCAAAGCATTCTAAGTTTCATCAACCATGCCTTGTTCACCTACCAAAATGACAACCATTAAAATACAACACCACTGTGCTCCCACAATCAGCAGATCAATAGAATACAAAAGGGGAATGGCTTTTCTTACAGCGAGGAGTTGGTCATGAACAAGCTATTGCATTTGCTTACCTTGTGCTCCTGAGGTACATGTCACTGTGCAGATCCATCTCCTCAGAATAAAATTTATGCCACGGTTAACCAATAGATGCTTGACCTTGACATGGTTTGTTGTTTGCTGCCACTATCCTGCAATGTATGCACCAAAATTAGAGTACTATTCATCTATAATGCAAACACAAAGATGTATGCATTCTCAACCAGACTTCAAGAAATATAAGTGTTAGAAGTGCTCCGAAAGGCAAACATCTCCAAAATTGAACTATGCATGCCAACTATTCTAGTGTTCGCAGATCCTCCAAAACATCTTACAATTTGGAACGGAGGGAATAGTACAGTCAAACTTAGAATCAAATGGACAGCAGGACTTTGGTCTGGACATGAAACCAGCTTGTTTACCTACTGCAGCGCTACACTGCAGACTATCTACACTAATGTCCAGTACCTAGGTGCATCTATGTTATTGATGTTCAGTTTAGGAGATGAATTTGCGATAAAGGAATGAACTTACCAGGCAATAAAACTGAGATTTGCCCCATTAGGTAGTCATATACATCATCAAAATTGTGCAAAGGTGCACAGCTGTAAACACACAAAAGCATAGTAAATAAATATGTCGGCTCTTATTACATTGTCACTCTTATTAAGACTTCAGATAGGAGCAAGGTAGACATAGCAGCAACTTACTCATTTCAACAGATAGGTAATTGGCATGTATATATGCTTAGTTGCTTACTCCTAAAGTAGGAAATAAATTAAACAGAGATCTGTGCTAATGTCTACTGGCATCTATCAGCCAAACATTGAAATGAAAGCATCCTATAGCACTAGCATATTTTGTTTTATATGCAGAGCAGTAAGTAGCTCAAAGATGGACTGAAAAACTGAGAGACCATGTGCAGGATTGTTCTAGGTATTAAGAATTTAGCATAGACCATATAAAATAGGAGAGTCACTTACTTATATTAACAAAGTATCCATCATCACTGCCAATGCAAGTGGATGTGATATATATTGCCCACCACTTTGCAGCGCCATCCTCATTTGCCCAACTAAACCGATTTGTCTCCCCTGCAGTGGCTGATTAATTGCAGGAATGGAATACTAAGTACAAAGGACTTACATCATAATTGCAGGCTAATTAATGGATCAAGCTTCCTAACATGTAAATATGTATATGACCCAAGAAAGTACCTGAGTTTCAACACGAGCATGCTTGACTAGTGTTCTAGCATCAGCAATAAGTCCACTCATGGCACAGCCTATGTGCTCATCAATTTCCATGACTTCTTCCATACTGCTTGGTTCCTGTGACATCAAAGAGTTTAAAGCACTAAAATTGCATGAAGACAAGAGTTTAAAGCATTAAGATTCCATCAGCTGGATGACAAGCAATGTTCTCAATTTAATATCCTGGTGTTTGTAGCCATATGATTAAGCACTATGATCAGTTAAGAAGAAGAAAAGGTGTTTGTTCTTGAGCTATTCTCTACATATACCAAAGCCAATGACACAACAACCTGCCTGTCAAGGGGTAAAAACTAAAAAAAGAATTGCATCACATCTCAGCTGAAATTGACACAGTAGTAATCTAACAAGACACGGAACCAGAAAACCTTACACAATAGCAAACCTCAATTATAGTAAGAACGAGTGAGATACTCCAGACTTCATCTCCAAGTAACATGTTAGCGACAACAAATATTTTAGAAAATCCTAAGGAGGTTGCTGCCCAAAAATTTCAGTATTAATCTCCATAACAGAAAGCTGATGTTATTTGCAGCTAATTATTCCTATGGCACCATCATCAACCCAAATGCATAATACATCTTACAACTTATTAGAATTATATCTGCGTTTGTTCAGGGTATTGCACAAAAACATACATGGCCAAGACTCACAAGCATCAAGAGTTTGACACTTAAGAACAATTAAATATCATATAGCCCAAATCACACGGTAAAGGACCTTTAAGTTCTTAGTTTGGGGAAATTCACAGGAAACTGCAGCCATCATAGATCAAGGAACCATATAAATTTGGGGAAAGAAGGAGAGAACGAAGGGACATATGTGCAAAACCTGAGCAGCTAGGGTTACCCAAATGAAATCCATGAACTACACACGTAATGGACCCCTTGATCCAGAATGCAGCTAGGGTTAGGGGCATCACAGGCGTGGCTAGGGTTACCCATGAGCACGCGGAGCACCATGGAGGAGGAGACTTGACATGGCTGGGCTATAGGCCACGCACCTGGATCCCGCCGCCGCCGTCGCCCCTGTGTCGGGATCTTGCCGTCGCCGCCGCCCGGGCTGGGATCCCGCCGTCGCCGCCACCCAGGCTGGGATCCCGGAGCCAGCGCTCGAATCCAGCCGGCCGCGCCCGGATCCAGCCGCCCGCTCTTGGATCCCGCAGCCGGCGCCACCCGCGTTGTGATGCCGGCTCCGCCCGCGCTGGGCATCCGCGTCGCTGTGAAGCCAAGAGAGCTGGAGAAGAGAGAGAGAGAGAGGAAGATAGAGAGAGACGAGTCAATAGGGATGGGGCGCCCGGATCCACGCCGCTGCCGTCCGCGTGCCCGGAACCAGCCGCCAAGAGAGAGAGGGGGGGGGACTGGGGCCTTGTTTTTAAATTGCAATTTTTTTCACTCTCTCCTCATCACATTAAATCTTTGGACACATACATAGAATATTAAATGTAGATAAAAAAATAACTAACTACACAGTTTGATTGTAAATTACGAGACGAATCTTTTAAGCCTAGTTAGACCATGATTGAACAATAATTGTCAAATACAAATGAAAATGCTATAGTGCTCAATACTGATTCCTAACCCCAATCTAAATCCGGCCCAGAGTCGGGGACTCGAGGGCGCGTGGGGCTGGAGTCGGGGAGAGGACGTGAGGGCCCGGTCATACGCTAGAGTGAATATTTTTTTTCGGGTCCGTGGGACAACCAACTGACGCGCGGGTTTCTTCTGCGCGTCTGTGAGCGCGTGTTTAGTTCCCACCCTAAATTCCTAAAAAGTGCTACAGTAGTCATCACATTAAATCTTGCGATACGTGCATGGAGCATTAAATGTAGACGAAAAAAAACTAATTACACAGTTTGGTTGGAAATTGCGAGACGAACGTTTTGAGCCTAATTAGTCCATGATTGAACACTATTTGCCAAATAAAAACAAAAGTGCTACAATAGCCCAATTTCCAACTTTCACCCAACTAAACACACGCTGAGTAAGGAACTGATGTTACAAACGCGCCCCAACCACGAACGAACTACAGATGCGTGTTAATTGTCCGTGTTCTGTGATTTATCGTCTAACTACACACGCATCCTATAAACACGCGTTTGTAGTTATATTAAAGATGCTTGTTACCAACACGTATCTGTAGTAAGTGCTTATTACATACACGTGTTGACCTTGTTGGACCGATGACCCTGGTCGGCGTCTTATTACAGGCGCGTGTTGGGAAAAATTACAGACGCGCGTTCGTCCGGCGTCTGTAGAGGGCGCTGGCAGATATTACAGTTTTTTACATGGTGTGTTTTACTTGTTTTTATACTTGATGCCAAGAATAAATAGATAATATTCATCACCACTTATTCTCCCTTCATCGGTGAAGTTAGAATACTATATATTTTATTACATGCAGAGTCCAGGTCTTGTTTGGATGTAGTCGGATTCGCATCAATCCACGTGTGTTGAAGTGGATTGGAGTGGAAATTGAACTAAATTCCACCTCAATCCATTCCAACACATGTGGATTGAGGTGAATCCATAACATCCTAACAAGCCCTTACATGGAGTAATATATTTACACTCGTTTTTACTTGTTTAACTACTACAACACCTTATGAGTTGTGACATGCCGCCTTGTATCTTACTAGAAAATTATACACTAGAGTTGCACTTAGAAGGCCTAAGGTAGTCTAGAAGTGTTTTTTCTAGGTTTTGTGAGATATTATTAGGAGGATATTAGACATATCAAACGATTTATTTAATAAAACTCCATCCATAAATAGATTTTCTAGCTTTTCAAAAGGCAGCTTTTGCAACATATATAGCTTTGAAAAAAACAGGTCCTTATCATACGCATACATCATACTCATTCGTGGATTGTACTTTTTCGTTCAAATTTTAAGTTGTTTTAGTTTGTTTTGAGTGAAACTTGTCTAACTTAAACAAGTTTATTGAAAATGTATTAGCATATACTCCCTCTACTATATAATAATACTCCCTCCGTCCAAAAAATGATAATCGTATTAGACCAGATAAAAAGTCATACAAAATAGATTTTGATCATTAATTTGTTTTATAATATAAAGTGGCAGCTAAAATATCAATATCATCTTAGAGGCATTTTTAACACAAATCTATGATCTAAGTTTTATGCTCTAAACTTTCATACAACTTGATTAATTGTTGGTCAAAATTTATAAAATTTATTTTTTCCACTGGTCTAATACGATTACCTTTTTTGGACGGAGGGATTACTCTTTTGACATCTACTATGGTTCACATCGATAAGGACATCACTGGCATTGATATAACCACACCTGAGGGACACAAAGAGCAACCACATACAGGAAATATAGTTCAGGCTCGCTGGCTTAATTCTCAAGTAAATTCAATCCTAGCTATCCAAATATGTTCTTATCAGAATTGGATGCTACTGAATTTCTGTGATGGATTGTTTATCCTTAGGAATGAGGGAGAAGAATCAGATCAGCACATGACCAACCAAGAGGACAATGAGAAAGGTTTTGTTGCCATCAAGGGAAGGCCCGAGCTAGATGTTTGGAATTCAAGTTTGGACCTGAAGGCAACGCTAGATTGAGATGGCCATAACTTTTGAGTTCGGATATTGCTGAAGGCCCATGAGTACTTGTTGGAAAGCACACGAGGTATACTTTCACATGGATCCAACCTTATTATCATATTCAACCGAAGCTGAGTAGAATTGACTAAATAACGTTCGGACCTCCAGGCTAAAGACAACTTTAGTTTTTGGGTCTTGGGCCTTGTATTTTAGTGGAGCCCAAGAGGGGGCATCCTAGGGTTTGGGAAGCTCATTCAGGACGTCCTAGTTGTAGCCTCCCTAAAAAAAGAAGTGACACCCACCAATTGAGAATTGGGTTTTGTTTAGATGAAAGTTTAGCTCCCAGCTACTTCCTTGCAATGTGTGTGTCAATTCAGACCACCTGACTGTTTGTATCCAGAATCCAGAACAACTCACGTCGATATAGAGTCAGATTCTAAAACGTAATGAGTTCCGTGCAATGAATGGACACATTTGCTAGTAATTCATAATGTATCAAATGAATATTGTTTGATTTTATATATTTTTATGCATTTTTCTATAGAGTTGGTCAAAGTTACGAAAGTTTGACTTTAGACACAATTAAGATATGACTTATAATTTTGGAACGGTACACACGATGTTAAAAGAGAGTAGAGCAGGCCGACCGATCAATAAACACCTTAATTTTTGGTACAGAGCTGCAGTGGTTATATATCGTCAAATCGTGCCTGATCGGTGCATGCATTATGCATAGTTAGTTACATTTTTATAGAAAATCATAGATTTTTACATACTCATCATCCTCGTGGAAGAACCTGGTGTGTGCATGGTTCTGGCTATCGTCTTCCTTGGGCCGGCACACGGAGATGCGTGCCTCGCGCGACGACCTCTGCAACTCCGACACCCGCTCTTGCATGGCCTTTAGCTGGTCGTCAGCGGGAGCTTTCTCTCCTTCCGCCGTGACCAGCACCAGCTGCTCCAGGCTAGGGGCCCTCGTCAGGAAGAAGGTGAGCAGCCGCAGCTCTCGCCTTGTCGCCATAAAATTGAAAACCTTGATGAGAGTCAGCTGGTCAAGGACGATCTCGTGCTCGATTCTCAGGTCTGCGCTGTCGGCCTCGTCGTCCGAGTCCCAGTCCCTATTCCATCCGTATCCAAGATCGCTGGGGAGCTGCGCCTCGTCGTCCGAGTCCCAGTCCCTGCTCCATCCGTATCCAAGATCGCTGGGGAGCTGCGGATATATTCAGCATGCATTCAGTTCCAAATAGAACACATGCATTTTTCTCAGATCAGAGGTGCAGACTCAAAGTTCATGAGTTTGGGCGAGAGAGAGAGAGCGCTCTACATACGTGGAGAAAGAGACGTTGGAGGACCGGAAGCGGGGTGAGCATGAAGAAAGTGGACACATGCATCTGGTCTTCATCGTCCGAGTACTCGGCCAGAAGCAGCTGCAGCTCTTCTAGGTTCGGCATCTCCCTATATGCGATGTCATCCATGGAGTGGTTGTAAAGAAGCTGACCGACAAGAGAGTAGTATATAATTAGCCTGCCCTGTACATTAATCTGTTATCTTCTTCCGTGTCTACTGAATTTTGAAGTATATATATTTGTGAGCGAGAAATTTTATATATGAGTTATTGCAATCAATTAGATATCGGTACCAGCAAGCCGATGGAGCAAAGCGTCACGATCCGGGCATGCGCGACGACGTCGTACAGATGGGGGTAGGACATGTCGTGAACGACGTTGTAGGCACCACAGCCGAGGTGCGACAGGTACGCGTCCCGCAGCGCCGGCATGCCGACGAAGTAAAAGAAAACAGGAAAGGGCTCCAGGTGGTTACCTCCGTTCTCGCTCCAGCAGACCTGGCCGTACAGGGTGAGCGACTCCAGCGCGGGCGCGGCGACCTGGAGCTTTTGCACGGCCCGGCAGCCCAGGAGCCGCAGCTCCCGCAGCCGCTCGCAGGCGATACTCACCTCTTGCACGGCCCGGCAGCCCAGGAGCTGCAGCTCCCGCAGCCGCTCGCAGGCGATACTCACCGAGGCGAGGAGGGAGCAGCTCCTGAGGCTGAGGGACTCGAGCGCCCGGCAGCTGGCGAGAATGCCCCGGACCACCTCGTCGGTGACGCCGATGCGGCTTAGAGAGAGCGAGCGGAGGCCAGCGAGGCCTGGCGCCGCGAGCGGGACGGCGCGGAGGCTGAGCCCGCCGAGCGCGAGGCGCGCCAGCGAGTTCCTGGCCTGGAACAGGCCGCCGGGGAGCTCCACGAACGCCGCGCTTCCGTCGTCGGAGTCCGGAACCTGGCGCCTCTGTCGTCGTCGTCGTCCTGACCCTGTCGGTGTCGGTGTCGGTGTCGGCGTCAGGTGCAGGTCCACCTCCACCTCCCTGGCGCCCCTCGCCACGGCGGACGCGATCCAGCCGACGACGTCGCGCCCGAACGCGCCGTCGCTCGACCCTGCTGGCGGGGACCTGAGCGCCAAGCGGAACACGTCGAGTGGCGCGGCGTGCTCGGCGTGGAGCTCAAGGCAGCGGCGCACCGTGGCCGCCGCGGCCAAGTCGAGGTCGGTGAAGTCGAGGACCCGGGAGGAGGCGAGCGCGCGGAGCCACTGCAGCGCCCACCGCCGGGAGAGGGCGCTCGTTCGAACGGCGTGCTTGAGCGGGAGCTCGCGGAGGATGGAGTGGAGGAGGTCGTCGGGGAGGCTGCTCAGCCTGTCCTCCTCATCCATGGATCCGCGCTTGCTCGGGTGGTGCGTTCGCATCTCCATGTCAGCCAGGATGGGTGCGATGGTGCGTGCCGCGTGCGAGTGCTGGATCACTTTGGTTGAAACGTGCTGGGTGCTTTCACAAACCCTTTCCTTTATACCCGGCAGTACTAGCTGCTTTACAGCGCAATATTGGGCAAAAAGGCCGAGCAGAAACACGCAACTTGAGAGAGTGACTCACTGACAAGTGACAACCAATGCATCCCATTCCCAAGTGGTTTCTCTGGTAAGACTGCAAGGAGTACGGAGTACTCCTCTCCCTCTAAATATTTGCCCTTGTTTAGTTCGCGAAATTTGGATTTTGGGGCTCCTGTAGCACTTTCGTTTTTATTTGGCAAATAATGTTCAAACATGGACTAATTAGGCTCAAAACGTTTGTCTCATAATTTCCCACCAAACTGTGCAATTAGTTTTTCTTTTCGTCTACATTTAATGCTCTATGCACGGACCGCAAACATTCGATATGACAGATACTGTAGCAACTTTTTGGAAATTGGGGTGGAACTAAACAAGGGCTTTATCGTTTTCTCAGAAAACAACTTTGACTAAATATATATTAAAAAATATTAACATTTATATTACATAATTAATATTATTGAAAAGATCTTTGAATCTAGTTTTTTTAATAAATTTATTTGAAGATACAAATGTTGCACGTATTTTCTACAAATCGAGTCAAACTTACGGCACGCACACCAATGACAACTGTTATTTAGGGACGTGACTGTTATTTAGGGACGGAGGGAGTATGTCATAAAAATTAGCTAGAGTAGAATTAAATAGATCCAGCTAATAGATCAGATAACAATATATAGAATTGCTAAGGGCATTTGATTAGGGAAGTCATACAAAAATCTTGTCTATATCAATTGCTAAAAAAAACAATAGCATCTCAATGGCACTTTAAACACAAATCTATTGACGCAAGTTTATATCCTAGACTTCAAAATATTTTGATTTATTGTTGGTAAAAGAATGTAACTTTTGATCCCCCTCTAGTCAAATATGTGAAAGGACCTAGGATGCCGCCTAGAGGGGGGTGAATAGGCGTTTCTGAAATTTAACACCTTTAAATACGGAAACAATTAGACAAGGAAGTTTTCAAAATGGAAACTCCAAATTAAGAGTAATACCACCCCTAGAGATTAGCCACAGTGTACACAAGGTATATAAGAATATATCTAAAAGCTACAACCTTGCAACATAAAGTTAGAACAAAGAATAAATATTTTCAGCACAGAGCTTCAATACCGGACGTGTCCGGTATGAATATCGGACGTGTCCGGTGTACACTATTTCTGCAGAGCAGCCCTAAACTTGCTCCTTTCGATTTCTATCTTCAAACCAAACTGCAGGCACCTTCTAGAGATAACAATATACATAGAGAACCTGCACAAGAGCTGGAGCAACACAAATATCAAATGAAACGCGAATTGAGACACGATATTTGTTTTACCGAAGTTCGGACTCGTTTGAGTCCTACTCTCCGTTGAGGGGGCTACGGGAGACCCAGCGAAGGTCAGCCCTAGAGGGTACCACGAAGGTCGCTCTAGCCGGAGTCTTTTCCAACTCATTTTCCTCCTTCCACTAGTTGATTCCAAGGCGACGGAATCGACCGTTACAAACTTTCCGAGGCACACCATAATCTCTCGGGTGCTCTCCGGCGACGCCTTGCCGTCTAGGACCGAAGAGTCCAAGAGTAACAAATGTGAATCACGAGATTGACAATATGCACAAGTGCTCAAGTGGTTTGTTTGCTCTCTTTTTGAATTTCACTCAACCCACTAATTGATTTGGTAATTTGGATCACACACTCACTAAGAGAGGGTTTGGGAGAGTTGGCAAGGCTCAAAAATGTGTATTGTGATCAGCAGAATTAGCAGCCTCCAAAAGTGAAGGCTTGGGGGTATTTATAGCCCCCTTGAAAAACTAGCCGTTATTATAGTCGTTGCCATCCGGTATGCATACCGGACACGTCTGGTATGACTTACACTGTCCCAACAGTAACTAAGTTACAGTGACAATATGAGGCGTCGGAACTCCCAATGAATGCCGGAACTTCCGATCGTCGAAACTCCCGACTCACGTCGGAACTCCCGACCCTCAGCATATTTGAAAACCATGTAACTTGAGTTAAAGTATGTGAGGTGTCGGAACTCCCGACTCATGCCGGAACTTCCGACCGTCGAAACTCCCGACTCACGTCAGAACTCCCGATCCTCTAGGCTTTTGAAAATTAGTCGTTGGCCTCTGGTCGTCCATACCGAACACGTCCGGTGTGACCAGGACAGTGAACCCTCCAAGTCAGTTAAAGTATGAGACATCAGAACTCCCGACCCTTGTCGGAACTTCCGACCGTCGGAACTCCCGACGAACCAACCCGAGAACAACAAAGTTACCACTGCTAGGCAAATACCGGACACGTCCGGTATTGGCAGTCCAGCAAAAATAAAGTTAGCTCTTTTGTCGCTCAAATATTCAAAACTCACTTGGGTTGGCTTGAGCACTTATGAAACATTATCTATCAACATGATGCATCCTTCTTAATAATACGGCATACCTATTAAACTCAAGATCAAAGGAAAAATGAATTTATACCACTTGAGTTGATCTCTTTTGAATTGATGTCGTCTCTTTCAATCTTCAACAAGTAAGGGTGTTAACATGTTGATATTGATCTTTTCACTTGAGCATAGTCATCTTGATCACGTGACTTGATTCCATTCATCAAATTTGAATAATCCCAAATGTATCAAGTCACTTCCATCAAATACTCCAATAGTGTTTTGATCCTCCACATAAACATGGTCATCAGAGCTTGATTAGTTCCTCAACTAAATGCAAGTACTTCTTTCTTCACCCTAGCTAGGTTCTTCGGCCGCCAAGCCATCGCTTGCCCTTCACCCTTGCTTAGTACCTCGAAGCCTTTCCTTTCTATCTTCACCATCTCAAGCCATCAAGTCACATCTTGTGTTGAATCATCAATTCATTTGTATTGTTATCTTTTTCATTTCAATTTAGCAAGCTTCAAATATGAGACCATTTCATATGCAATCCCTCATGTCTCACTAATTAATTCTTACGAGCTTGCTTTCACATAGTAAATGGAAATCCCATAATAAATAAGCCTTTGCATGAATTACATTTGCATTGTTGTCTTGTGCTTGAACTAGATTGTTTATACAACAACACATCGTTTTGGCTTTCATTAAGTACTCGTGAGATAACCTATAACCTGTCCACACTTAGCAAACGGGTTAGACTTTTAATCACGTTGTCATTCAATCATCCAAAACCCACTAAAGGGCTAGATGCACTTTCAATCTCCTCCTTTTTGGTGATTGATGACAACTTAATGAAAGCTTACAAAAGAATATAAACATTTAAGCTTTTGGGTTCAATGATTTATGAGAAGCTCCCCCTTAATATGTGCTTATGATTAGAATTCATAAAATGACCTCAAATATCAATTGCACATACTAAAACGTATAGGAGACTTCCCTAAATCATTACATCCATAGGGTGCATGTGTGTGTGACAAAGTAAAACCGTAATGCATATGACAAGATATATCACACAAGAATAAATATAAAGGCATCACATCAAATATTTTCATTCTAGCATGCCTAGTCCTTATGAAAATAAATATAACACATGTAACTCACACATAGCACTCATTACATATTTTCTCAAGTCCACAAGCCACTGATATAAAGATCATGTCTCAATAGATACATAGATGAAGCTCAAAAACAAAAACTACAGCCTGCAGTACATATCTTCAGGTAAAGATAAGCAAATGAAACAAAAATCCTGAAGCTTTAATCAGTCTCTCTCCCCCTTTGTCATCTATCACCACAAATGTGCAACAATGACATACTAAGGACAAAGGGGCTGCAAGCTGTCTCTGAAAGCTGTGATCACTCATCATCATCTTCATCTCTACCAGCATCCTTATCATCTGAACGTGTAGCACCGGCTGGACGAGAACCACCCGCACCAGATGGGTCATAGAAGCTACCCGTGAGGTCACTCCACCAGTCTGAAGCATACTTGTCTGCAGCACTTGGACGTGGCTGAGAGTGAGTAAGCACCCGAGCCTGTAGTGGTAAAGTGTCGGGATGCTCTAGAGCCTACTGCTGCTGCCGCTGAAGAAACTCAGCAAACTCTGCGTTGTACCTGCCCTGCTGCTGCTCCTCAGTCTCAGGTTCACTAGCTGTCTCATCTGATAGTGGAGACCTAGGAGGATCAAGCTGAAGTCTAGAAGCAATTTGCTTCAAAGTCCGAGTATCCTTCCTCCTAGCCTCCCTCTCCTTCTGCTGACAGGTCCGTATGTCCTTGCACATCCCAAAGATAGCACTGAACATCTTGCGAATAGGAGAAGGAGGACTACGGTGACGTGAAGAAGAATGTTAAGGAGCATGTGGTAGAGGGGAACCACCTCCTGCTGCTGCACCACCTGCAGGTGCATCTACCTCTGGTGCTGCTGCTCCTCCTGGTCCTGCTGGAGGTACTCCAACCTCAGGCAAGTCTGCAACAATCTTTAGGGCCTTATGTACCTTGTCATACTCAAAGGTATGCCCTGTGACCTGCTCAATCATTTGCATGATGTAGGGAGCAAAACCACAGCCCTTGAGGGGCCTCTCGCCAACGCTCCTGATCTCGCACCATATGAAATCAAAAACACTGAAGGACCGTGCATCTGGAGCCATCCTATGGAGCAAGTTCCTAGAGTAATCTGCAATATTGCCCTTGTCTCCACCCTTGCAGTCAATGGTCTTCCTGAACATCTTGTCTAGGTATCTGTAGGTAGGGTGAAGACCTAGAACCTTCCCCATTGCTTCTCTCTCACCCCCGGTGGGCACATGTAGGATAGCTGCTCTAGAGGGAGTACCTGCTCTGTATGGATCCTATCTCTCTGAAGATCCTCCTCTGAAAAACCGAGCAGGGCGGCAAAAGCATCATAATCAACACTGTACCACTGGCCCTCAAGCATCCAGTGC